AGCACCACCAATCCCTGGATTCCTGCTCCCACAACTTCCCAAAGAACCTCCAACAAACCACTTTGTGTTGAATCCAGTCATTTTTTTCCTGGATGCTCCCGACTGGAATTTTCCTGATATTTTTTCCATCACACACTGAATCATTCCCCCCATTCCTCAAAATCCCAAGGAATCCTATCCCACTTTCCCTCCAGCTTTCCCCACTTAGGGTGTGTCGATGATTCCAAACCCATCCCCACATCCCACATCCCATTCCCTACTCCACATCACCCCCGTTTTCCACCGGAAAAAGGTCCCTGGAAGAGGGGGAAAAACCGGGGCCGCGGCTCCCGGATTTTTCCAGGGCTGGAATCCCGGGAATGCCTCACCTTTGATTTTCTGTTTGTACTCTTCTGGTCGGTGGAGGTACATGGCAGCGGCGTCTCCGTTCAACGGATCGATGGGATTGGGATACGCCAGGAGCTGGGGCAGGAACGACTCGAAGATGTTGGTGAGATCTGCGGGAAAACACAGATCCATTGGGAAAACACATTCCAGGGGGGAATGGGAGAGGGAAAACAAGCCTGGAAGCGTGGGAATGAGGGGGGGAAATGGGAATAAAGGAGAGGAGAGGGCTGGGGAACGCACAGGGAGCTGCTGGAATTCCTGACCCCCACACGTGGGATGGGAGAGCCTGGAGGTCCCTCCCAGCCCAATCCATCCCAACCCAATCCATCCCAACTAAATCCAGGGATCTGGAGCACAAAGTGTCTTCCAGGGGGAATAAAATATCAAATAACAACAAAGGGTCGAGCAGGGAGTGGCTCTCACTGAATTATTTCCCTTCTCCTTCCTCCCCTACAATGTTTCCTGCTCCATGGAAGTTGTCCCTGCTCCTGGTAGGGCTTGGAGATCCTGGAGGTCCCTCCCAACCCAAACCATCCCAGGATTCCAGCACTAAATCCAGGGATCTGGAGCACAAAGTGTCTTCCAGAGGGAATAAAATATCAGATAACAACAAAGGGCTGAGCAGGGAGTGGCTCTCATGGAA